TTCTCATAATTACCGATAGATTACAGTTATTCTTTAAACAATCACGGATATCAGTGATGTAGCCGACTATTTTCGATGGAAGTCACCTGCATGCCAGTGACCGACGATGGCGATGCCTAAGGTATCGTTATGCCTTATACTTATCGTTATAAGTACCTCAGTTTTAATTGACGCAACGGATGTGCAAAGGTTATTTATTGGAAGACAAACAAGGACGTTCAATGATATGTATTCTGCATCTTTTCAGTCACGTTCTTAGTAGACGAGGTAGGTGCTTCATTTTAGACGAAGTATTAAATTGTCTAGTGTCTAGTCACAAAATCCTCTTCGAATCTGTGACCACCCTTCAAACCATCATTGCGCTGTTGCTGGATTCTGGAAAGCTCTAATAGAACTAAGGTGCACGCGTCCTTTCTGGACATGGCCAAATGACCGGAATTGCATATGTGCATAGTCTTCGATTCATACTTTAATTCGAACAGGCCGAAATCTATCGACGTGTAAGGGTATCCTACGTTGCTTCAGCATGTTACGAGTGCCCCACTCTGTTTGTGAGTATTTTTTCACGATTTCGACGGAGTAACTTTAAAGAGCCTGCCGCTACTTGACAGGACCATGGGGACTCGCGTACTCACGATACAATCTGCAAAACAGGTTGTATCAGAGCGCCCTGGATACTGTCGCCGTATTTGACCCTCAACAGTTGGTAACGTGGCGCACATTTTTTCCGTTGAAGCAAAGGTATTCAAGTGATTTCAAGATTCTCTTCATAGTCGAATCAAGAGGGCACGTGCGCGTTGAATTTCATCATGAATTTATGTTTGCTAATTATTAAACGAAATTCGATTTTACAACGATTATTGTACAAATAAACGGCCTCAACGTTGGCACGTACCAGAAAACCACGTAATAGCGTTCTTTTTTTCGAGGAACGCCGCCTTTCTGCGGTTCTGTGCCGTTTCTTCATATTTAATATTGCTGTACTTAGTATAAGCAAGAACACCCAAATAATTCGACACAGATTTAACCAAGAATTGTGGATATGTACCTTGCCATTGATGGGCGTGAGAGAACCTTTTCGTCGTGAAAATCTTGAGCTTTACATATAACTTGTTGTGTAGAGCATATGAACACCGCTGTCGTTTAAAGGTTCTAGCTCGGCTTGATCGTTTTCAGGTTCTGGATCCTCTTGCAGCAACTTGCGGATTCCCGGTGCTCTTCCCAAGAACAGAATTCGCTTGGTTGACTATAGTGCTATGCTGTCTGTGGTAAATATAAAAGAACCAGCACAGAAAATTGCCTATGAGGGAATACCTTTTTTCATGGCCGAGGATCTCACGTGCTTCGTACATAGCAGCGTACTTTGCCAAGGGCCCCGGTTTATGGAAAATCTCTTACGATGCATATTTCCACGCCTGAACGTGTACTTTGTGCCATTCAAAGAAGCGCAATATGGCATTCATAGAATTGAGCTTCCGGAGCGCAGACGATATGAGTTTTTTGTATATCTCAGACTCGCACAACTGATTCCATCTCATGCATGTTTGTTTAAAAGTGAAGAGGAGCAGCTCTTAAAAAAAGCCTGGTTAATGTTTTAAGCACATTCTAGAACCGAAATACATATAGCAATGAAAAGAGAGCTACTAATATTGGAAATGCGACATATTGTTTAGAAGTGCTTCTTTGATATTTCAGTTACCCACCAATGAGCCGAGATTTGGCATTGCCAAAAGCCCAGATCGGCTCATCAATTAGTCAAAAGAAAACAATTCTTCATCACGAACCAATATTAGAAAGAAATACAAACGATTCATATGGCATTTTCTAGGGGAATCCGGTAATCAATCAATTTAAAAAGCCCATATATGGATCTATATCTAACCATACCAAAAAACCTAATGGTTGAAATCGTTGTGCAGACAACAGAATTGCAGAGCAGAAAAGTCATTCATTCAGTTTATCGAAAATAAGTATGCGGTAGCTTCTAAGCCCATTTTTTTAAGTCAAGGACTTAGGGAAGTGCCCATCTATTACAACACAGCCTTTCATCAGCCATGTCGTGCTGACTAGGATACTTAAGAACAATAAACGAGCTATCAGAGAAGCAAAGTGACGTCGACGAATAGTTACGTAACGTTCGTTGTTCAATGCAGACACCGTCTTACTAACGATTGTTTTCGTTTGCATTGGGCAGCCTAAGTTTGGCAAACGTTTATAATAGGAAACGTTTGGTAAAAGTTACCCGTAACTAACAACAGCTTGCGCGTCATTGAACGGAATGCAAAATACTTTGCCAACGTTTAAGATATATGGTAAATTATCTCGCCTTATGATGAACTACGAAACCTACACTATGGATCCACGTAAGGTGGCTTTACTTGTGACCAATCGTTTCACAGACATTGCTGGCTTTAGTAGCAAGTATAATGCTACAAAAGTAGCTCGAACATTTCGGTCCTAATTTGTAATGCAAAATGAGGTAGACAACTCTTTTCATGACTAGAAAGCATCAAGAACTCTTATAATGTGAGCGTTCAGGCAATACGGACGGCAAAATCTCTTGCTAATTTACGAAAGCTGGCCATTGCACCATGCAGAAACACATATGAACCAAACTATCGTACGATGGTGTTCGTTCCCTGTTTTAGGTGCTTTGAATTGAAACAGCGCTGACTTTGTCTTTACGTGACCTTGAATGTTTTACCGGATTTTTCAATGGTTTGAAAAGCGAAGACTAAAATCTGTAATCATAGACGAAGATGAGATCAAACAGTTTATGCTGTACTTTTTAAAATATAGCGATATGCCATTTGCGTCATATTTTGCAAATTACATATATAAGTTATAACTACGAAAAGAAAAGAGACAGTTACGCCAGGATCACTTACGGTTAAGACTTTCTAGGCTGGATTGGTGGATATATTTATTTCGAGTATCAGCATTGTCAATCTCGACTATCTCGTTACAGGTTTTTTTTTTCTGGAACTTACCGCTTTCCAGACTTATACGAGGCAAGCCTTTTTCTCCAGTACTTCCAGGAAGAACTGGAGAAAAAGGCTTTCTAAAGGAGAAAAAGGTTTATTAACATGAACCCTCTGATAATAAACACAGGCTATCTCTCATCTAAACATAGACGATTATCATATTAACATACTGCATGTAAGGTGATGGCCCGCTTTTAACTAAACCTCTGACTCACTTCTAGCGGTATAGAAAACCTTTGTTCCGATCTTTCACTTTTTGATAGTCCACGTTATAGACCGTTGGACATTTTTTTTTTTGCCTTAGAAGTCTCAATGGATTGCAGTGACGATCCAGCCCACAACTCAAAATTTTATTTAGACTTCAGGCTTGAAGTAGCAGAAGTTCTAAGCAAAGTGCAATAATTCCGATATTTCACATAATAAAAACTGTGTCTAAGGTGGAAAAAATTAAACAAGGGTACCAGGTAAGCAGTGAACACTTCTTAGTCAACCTGCTATATATATCGAGGAGTAACGAAAGGCTATATATATATATACTATATTTACGGAATTTCTTTACATTTGCTGAGCATAGGCGTTGCCGAGTTACGATCGTGTTAAAGCTCTTGGCATAGCTTTTACTGTGATAATAAGACATGGCTGCCAATAATCATTTCCCACAAGCATTTGTAGGCGAGCAATATACATCTGTACTAGTATAGGCATACAATTAGAAAATACCTATACCCACAGGCACATCATTATACTTTTATCAACCAGTGATTAAAATCGAAAAATCGTGATGATAGAAGCCAGTCACCGGAAAAATATCTGAAATGCCTCGTACAGCCAACACAATACCGGTGACAGAACAGCCTAAGTTAATCGGGCACGCTTATGGGTTCTGTAGAAAGCCATCGTGGAAAGGCAAATCGTGAAATGTTTTCTAAATACGTAAGAACTCGTCTAGCAGTTTCCCAGTGACGATACCTCCCGATGCTTTCCAAGAAGATTTTTTCAGCTGCTTGTGCAATATTGTGTTTAAAGAATAGTCATAACGACACTGACCACCGTCAGAAGTAAGCATGTCTTACAACCAGGACACATTACTCATCACCAAATGCAATTATAGAACCGAGGCCTTGCAACTAAAAACATTTGTTTAAAATCTTCCATCGTTTCTAATGAACCTTTGTACCAGTGATATATGTGCAGCATATGACTAACAACAAAAAGCAGACAACTGTAGCATACTGCTAAATAGAATTATGGTGATTTTGTGACCGGATTCGTAAAAAATGAACCACTTGTTTCAGAAGCAAACTTTGCTAGATTTACAACACATTAAATTCGCAAGTTAAATTGATTAAAACTGCGTGCGGGTACCATTTTTGCTTCAAGTAAAAAACGAACATTCAAAATACTGAATTTCGTGACAGGCAAAACTTTGTTTCGAACTCCATTAAATTATCGCGGGGCTGTTTTCGGTTGATTGATTAGGTCTATAATGTTAGCATAACTTTTTCGTATGAATGGATAAAGGCCTGACGGATAACGAAATTATTCCTTATTTTTTTTAGCTTTTATTGTGAAATCGTGACCAGAATATAAATAAAGAAGAGTGTATTTACGAAGAAAAGCTAGAGAGAGATATCTACAATCAACATCCCGGTAAAGTAGAAGGGTTTCACTATGTTTGCAGAAAGCATGGAGATATTAATTGCGGATAGATAAATTTACAATTTCGTACTTCATGGCTAGGACGCCTAAACATATATGCGTGGTGATTTTAAAGAATAGCGTAACTTTAATTAACTAACCAAATGCTGCAGGTTTTTTTCACGTTTAATCTAACCAAGTTCTAGGTAATGTTTTACGTCTACTTCACGTTTCGCGTGGAAGTTTATTCTAAGCAAGTACATGAATATAAACGAATGTTAAGCTAAATGTTTTGGCTTTTGAGTCTGTCACTAGCGTTAAGGGTTGCCGAAATTATATGGCTAAAATCATTCGCTATAGGTGTTTTCTAATTTTCTATGGATAGAAACAACTGTGACATCCCTTTGAATACACCAAAAGATATATTATGGTATCCCCTCAATTATCTTTGCTCTTCTGTAAAGAGATCTTGTACCTATCCAGTGCATCCGACAATCAACATGAGCACGAATCTATCGAGTGAGCAAGTACCCTCCTTCAACATGGCCGTCTAAGAAGTTCTGCATCTCCCCCATAATGCACTCGGTAAGGTAGTCTAGATTTGAAACGGTACACTTCGTTTCACCCTAAGAGGGGGGGGGGGTCATTAGTCGTTTGACGCAATACTCAAGAGCATAAACGTTAAACATAGCATTTACATTGTGTGTGTTTTTTATATAAAAGCAAATGGGTTTATGTTATGGGCTCCATTGTATATGGACACTTTTATTCGCCTTTCAGATTATCTTGTAGAATACCTTGATATGAAGTTCTTCATCGGTTACCAATTTCTTTATCAGAATTTGGCCCAGTTTCATATTTGAATATGCCTCTAATATATTATACAGTACTAAGATATTTGGATATACCAACGTTAATGACAAATCGCGAGTGGCACAATCAAACATAGCATGTTAATTATTATAGGAAAAAAGTGAGATCAACTACACAACGTAAAAAAAGCTAAATAAACACCGATAATCGTTCCAGTGACTCCAAAAAAGCAGATTTTGTCTTCTTAAGAGACCTCAGAACATCGGCATGACGTTTACTGATAGACTTCTTCTAATTGACAGAAGATTCGGCTTCAATAGACCGGCGTGTTCTATAATTCGCTCGACCCTCTGGGCGTCCGATGGTTGGCAGCTGCAAAAAAATTGTGATCTTCACTCATTTGCAACGTCTTCTCCATGAGCTGTGAGGTATGTGCCAATTTACTTAATTGGCGAACGCATTAACCTCGGTTTCTTTGTAAGCTCGATATAGAGCTACAATGAAGCTACCATGGTATAGAAATAATGGTAAGCATAGGGTATACCAAGGCAGGACATCGCACCATTGATTATTGGGCATGATTTTTCTCAGAAGTTAACCTGATAATCTCTTAAGGTTCCGAAAATAACCTAGAAACAAACCTACCGACCATCTTACTGATACTACATTCGACGCCTAGCGCAAATATCCTCGTGAATTGTGTGAGTATTAAGTAAAGGGGCTTTAATTATACATATCCAGAGAAAAATTGTACAATATTTGCGCAGTTAACAATCCTAATAGCTCCTCTTTCGCAAAAAAAAAAATCTAGAAACGTAAATTTCAATCATTTACATTGAAGCATCTCTAGATTTCTATTATTTTTCAGCAACATGTATCGTCTGTATCGTACAAGGAACCTGAAAAGAGCGATTCGTTCGCCGACGTTCTTTCTTTTCACACGTTTTTAGACGGTTTGTGCTTGAAGCGAAGTTCACTTAACTTGGAGGCACAAGTGAAGCTTTACTATAGATTTTTCACGCGGTCTGCACTAATATTCACGATCGGAGCTTCATCTACGAAAATTTTCTTTCGTCACCTATCGTGATCATTTTTAGGCAGTGGATGACTGCGTATGCCACGTATTTCACGCGAGCTGTCCCTTTAGAGTTAATACGCAAAACTCGATCAGATTTCGGTGGGCAATTCTATGACACCACAGCTTATCAAGGCATAACTACTACGTTGCTGTCGCCACTGATACCCGTATCTGTCGTGTACGAATTAAGTAATCTGACATAAGTAGTACAAATATGGCCTATTACAACGAAACATCTAGAGAGGACCTAGTAGCTCCATAACCGATGTATCGCAGACTCGTATCGACTCATCCAGATTAGCATTTCTACTACAAAACGCACGCGTACCAACAAAATTCCCCTTTCTCTGGAAACGATTGCCGCCTCGCCGTAGGTAAATGAAAAATTCGCCTTCGTTCAGATGCAGTCATCATATTAATACGGACACCACGATACGACTCATGCGACTTCGGTAATGCGGACACTGTTGCGAGCGCACAGTATAAAATGTAACTGAAACAGTGGCCAGAGTTTGGTGTGGACTGTGGATATTGTATCTTTGCTAAACAACTTTCGCTAAGGCCCAACAATTTGTTAGCGTCCCATCACTCACAGCCAAGCCGGCAAATGCCCATCTTTGGACAATGTAACGAAAAAGCCCGACTGCAGGAGTTGATAAAGGATTGGGTCAATCGCTCGGTTATTATCGGTTCAAGGCACTAAAGATGCAAGGGGACACGATAACTGTGTAAGAGAAAGGCATGGATTTATAAACACCAGGTACTCAATGTATCATAATAGTGGTCATAATTAGATAAAAGGGAATGTAGGCAGGTGCCAATAAGCCAATGAATAGGACTGCGGATGTCCGCCATAGCGGACATGTAATTGGAACGTGAATCTTATTAAGGGTAAGTAATGAGAAGAACTTCACAATACGATTCGTTTACCGGATGCTTAACTACTCATGTAGAGGTGTCTCACCCAATAAAATAGAAAGGCTTTAAGGGTAATGTAAGCGTCGTTATTTCACTCGTAAAGGATGTGTATTATTTTGACGAATGCATAGAAAATATTGCAACATCGTTCAACCATATTGCTTAAGTCTGTAACAGTATATTAAGTTCAATTGCCTTTTAAGTGACGTATGCAGAATAATGTTGATTGACGGTTTAGTAGTACTAACTGAAAAAAAAAACGCAAGAGTTACCTTTAAAAAAAATAGTTCTACCGTTTATTGAGTCCTCTGCCGGACCGCTCTTTTTTTTGTTGTATGTACTGTGGCACACAAAAACTTATGCTTTATCTCACGTACCTTGTATCTCTCTACCTGATCTATGCTGATACAAACAGACGTTGGCTAAAAACAACAATTGAAGTTCTTCTATTGTGGCACTGCCAGAAACTTTTACAAAAATAAATAATTCTATAGTACCTTTAACTGAGCCAGAATACGGTGTTTTACAATCCGTTTTCGCTGTCCGCGGTCTCCCAAATGATTGTGAGATTATATCAGTATTTAAATAGGATTTACGTAAGATACGCATTGGCTATTGTTTGACAATGACTTCAAAGCAATACCTCATACAGTCGATTGCCGGACATCAAACCCAAAAAGCTTTCTTCATTGTTAATGGATCGCCAAAATAAAACAGCAATCTTATTTCAGGTCGTATTCAGCTAATTACGACAGACTCTCGCATGAAGGCAGCGAGACAGTTACGTCCTGAAGGCTTGATTGAGGGAACAGATTGAGCGACTGCTGTATTTCTATTCATAAAGTTACACTGTCACTATTGCGCAAGATTCATACATTATCTTAAGTTTTTTTGTCAAAGTCATTAAGATGTGTTCCGGTAATGACTGCTTACCTTGGACCACGAAAGCCAGAAACTAACATTAAGCTCGATCGTTAGGAGACTCCATTTGCATGTTTTCGCGTGTCGAATATTCCACGTATCCCAATTTAAGATTAACACGCCGAGGTATCACCTATGAAGGATTACGTACAAAGTAAATACGTTTTAAATCTGTCGTTAGTCAGCCCTCTAGCCTGTTCTTTATCTGTACATAAATAGCATTTATCTTCTAATGGTGCCACGTTGTTTGTCCAGAAAGTTTTTCTCCTTAACTTTAATTAAACTTTCATTAATTTAGCAAGTGCCCGATTTTGAATTTGACATAACATTCTGTTGACAATAAGTCTGCGCGCCAAAGGAAATGCTTTCACATCTGTACGTAAAACCCAGCTTTCAGCAAATGACCAACCGACGAAGAAAATTAATAAAGTCTAAAAATTATACATAAGTTTATTACCGTTAAAAAGAAAATCTTGTCCCAGACGTATCAACATTGATAATCGGTGCTTCAAAGAGCACCTGAACTCAATCATCAATTTTTTTACTTTAAATAATATTTGCATATTGTTCCCAGAAAGACCATAGTGTTCTGGGTGGCAGATGCAGCACTTTATGGCAAGACGTCAAAATGAGCATACGGGCACTCTCCCTGTATAATTTAGTGAACTACAGAAGGTGGGCAAATTTATGCCTCGATATTTCCCTACTGAACGCAGTGCTTTTAATTGTTTTCAGTGGTTACACACGAGGCTTTATCCAAAGCTTTCATGGCGGAATTTCCTGTTCTGAATCTCTGCTCTAAAGTTGTAGAGCTTTGCAAGGAAACTAAAAGTTTGGCGTTGCTTCTGTTGATCCATATCTAATGCTAGAGGACAACAGCAGCGGACCGTTCTTGCAGGGAACTGCTGCTGTTACATCTCGAATAGGCTATTCAACAGTCGAATACTGATCCCAAGGGATTACTAACATATAACCATTTTGTAACTGATGTCAGCCCTAGGCAATTTCAAGACATTTATTTCTTGGCAGATCTCCAACTCACTACCAAAACGAGAGATCATATTAGAATCGAAATTTCGATACAATGCCGGATTGCCAAAAGTTTCCAGGCTATTGAGGCTTGAAGGCGAGGCCTGGGTAACTAATATCTGATATATATATGTATCTTCTTCGGTGCTTTCACCGGTGGTTGAAACTTGAGCGTACTCGTATAGCAGAATCTTCCAGTTACAAAATCCTACCCACTTGTTTTAGAGTGGGGCAACATCTGTGCACATGGGAGATAGAGTTTGATGCAGATGTTGCCCATGTACGCAGAGATAATTCTGCAAACCTTTCGGTAGAATCCAACCAGGAGGCCTAACTGGCTGACAGCATCTGGCGAAGTATTTCAAGTATTTTACAAGCAATTAGAATATCTTTGTGTATGAGCTTTTTGTGTAATAGTTAGAGTTCTGATAACGCGAAACGTAACAGGTATCTACCCTTCACACGTCCTTTCAAGCCTGAGTATGTGGGTAAGCCTTCAGGCGACACGGCTTTTAAGAGTGCATCTATTAAATGTCGGCATCCCTCTCTGGATGCCAATATAAATATTACTATATTTATTGAATATTTTTATATAATATAATATAAACAATGTAATAAAAACGTACGAGGTAAATTCAAGAACCAATAAAAAGGAAATTTCAAAAAAGATCAAACGTACAGTTTCAGCTACGTTTGTATATGAAAGGATAAGATTATTCAGATATCGGGTGCTATTTCAGACGACTACAGCATAAAGTATGAAGAAGTGGATTTGAAACTTTCGCTTCTTAATTACCCTAATATTCATCAGTGCATTATGTTAACACTGCGTAATTCCTATAAACATAATCCCACCAATAAATATTATGAGGATCAGGACTTCGAATCGTACTTTCTTAACTATCACTAATTTATGACAAAAGCAATATTACCGTAACCTGTACACGGTGCTAAGCTATTGCGTGTCTCTGATTGTATAGCATTTGAGCAATATATATACTAATATGTTATACTAAGCAAGCTTTCCCACAATGATTGGTGTTCGAGCTCTCACAGCAGAAGTACGTGTAGCGACAAATAGATTTTCTAAATACTTGGTACGCCACTAGCGTAAGATCTGTACAACAAATGTATTTAACCTCGCTATTCTGAGAGCGGTCTGTTGCCGAAATTGGTTTTTGGTCGGTAATAGCTACAAGCATTAGACTCGTCATGAAGGTGGTGTCTGTGTACACACGTTAGAGAATGCCGACAAGTCGTAATGTCCATAAATTAAACTTGCAGTTCCAAATGCGCTCACGTCCAAGGTTTAGAAATCGGCTGTTGATACAGTTCATTGCCCTTTGGGAACCAGATATCTGAAACAACGCTTAACGCAACGATGCAAAGCTCAAAACATCTATGTATGTATCATTAGTGCAAAGTACTATTTTTTTTTTCTTATTTTTTTTTTAAATAAAACACTTTTCCCAAATAAAAATCGACTTTTCTCGATATCTAAATTGCACTTACCGGAGGGGGTCAAAATAGTAACCGTTAGCTATAAACGTTTCCGAGCGAAAGAGTTAAGCGTAGCCTAGTCTATGTATTACTTAGGTCGTTCGTTCGAGAACGTTGACGCTGTTATGCAACACGGTTATTGCTGCCCTAAAGATTACTCTATCGAACACTATCTTCTTTAGTTTATTTTAATACGGGAATGTCATTAACCGGTTCTTCCGGTATCTTCAACCCTCTATTTTTAAGCATTTACCTGCCTTTCTCTCTGCGATGACATAAGTAGCTGGCATAGTAGTAAGTTTCTTTATATATGTAAACCTACATATATATAAATGTAGGTGCAAGAAATGGCTGGCCTCTAAGGGGTTGCCATACCGTGTGTTTATTTTACTTGTAACATATATTTCAGTTTAACTAATATGGCAACGAAGAAAAATACTGCTAAGTGATGACAATATCACGATAGACGTGATGCCACATTCGTTACCTTCATGCGATAATAAAAATAGATCTGCAGTTTTGAACGTACTTTAAGCGAAAAACATATCAGGCATCTTTAAAAAAAAAAACTGCTTAGACAAGATTACTCGTAATTTTCAAGCAAATATTCGTCTTCATTTTGAATTGTGACAATTGCATTTAACGGAACATAGTGGTTCTGTTAAGAGGTCTTCCAATAAAATGTCCTCGCTCCAATCGTAAAACACCATATACACCCCCTACGTTTCCAATCAGACCAGAGTTTTTCATGATTCAGCGTTGTTTCATCATATAAGCAGCAGAATTAATGTTAACCACGCAGAGATCCAATTTTGGTGTACTGGTGACCTGTAGTTCTATGGTAGCATTAAGTTTCCTTTATTTGAGGAGAGACCTTTGCTAAATAGCTCCAGTTAACTTGAAGTATTCTGTATAATTATGACTTAAATACTTGAGTATTTAACTGAGTTCTGTGCCGATTTTTCGGAAATAGTATTTCATGTATAGCGTCGTAAATATCAAAGGACAATTTCGATGGATGGCACTTGACGATTTGCTGACGTATAAAATCATCAATATGATCATACTAGTTCAGTTTTTTGTCGTTATAATGAGGCTATTAGACTGCGATTGCATTAAAGTTCAGATCCTAGAATATTGGAAACTAATCGATCTGCGGCCGTCCTTCAGATACCCCGACGAGGTTTTGACCTTGATTATTAGTGACTGCAACCTGGAGATTCGTATACTGCTTATGCTAAAGTTGCGTTATCTGGCACCTGAACATCAACTCGTCATGTCGACGGTGAGTCCACTAATATAGTGCTGTGCCGTACCATTTACACGGTTAGTTTCAAGGACAATTGAACCTTTCTCAGTGGGCGCTGGGAGGACCGGCTCGCTAAGCGGCAGACACCCTGTTGATTCACTAATGAAGACTGCGGCGGTAGCG